AGTATCTCTTAAACACAAAGAATGTTATAGTTACTGCCTGATAATTTTTACACAATAACAAAACCTCAAACCCAAACAACCTAAACAAACAACCAACCAAACCCCAACAAAGAAAAATCCACAAAGAAACAAATCAAACAATAATCACAAAAATTCAAGGGGATATAAGGGATTCAAATAAGTACTGGAATTTATAAGGTACAACTACAGTATACAAAGCTGAGAAAAACCTCTGTCTCTCACCAGCAAAAACTAACTTCAATAGCCTTACTAAGTTTATCATCACCTTCAGTAACTCAGCCCTGCTCAGTAACATTAGGCAAGAAACTCCACTGATGTGCAAAAAACAGACAAGAAATAGGCTAAAAAAACGTAACAAAGAAAAAAAGAGTATTACAAAGACTACATTACACAGCTTTACAAGAACTAAGTCACCTGCTCCAATCTTGCACCAAACAAATACTGAGCTCTAGATTTCACAATATGCTAACACATTCCCTAATCATGACAAGAATCTTGAGAAAATATGAAAAGTAGCCTTTATTTGTTGCTTTTAACCAGATGCTGATACTGCCTACAAGCGAAGCACAGCTCTCAGGCTGCCACATGAAAAAATCTATGCAAATGACAAGATAAAAAAATAGATCTATGCAAATGACAACTGTAAACATGTTAAATTCTTTCTATCTGTGGGAGCACTGCAGGTATTTTTTACAATGTTCAAGAAGAATTACTATATAGCAGTTTACGCATTACTCCACCAGAAAAATTACAGCAACTCCCATTCTAAAAGAGACTATCCACCTTCCAGTTTTACTGTACTGAAACCTGAAAAAAATCTTTTTAAGAATAAAAGGAGTCTTCATTGCCAGGTAACCTTACCTGGCACTGAAGATTCCCTGGTAAGGTTCTGGTGGCCTGCAGGGGTGGTTTCTGTGAAAGAAACCAGAAGCTGTCCCCATGTCAGACACAGCCAGTTCCAGTTAGCTCCAAGATGGACCTGCTGCTGCGCAAAGTTGAGCCCCTTGGCCATGCTGGTGATGTCTCTGATAAAAGGTAATTAGGAAAGGGTGAGAGGGGTGACAATAAAAGCTGAGAGAAACAACACCGCAGACCCCAAAGTCATTGAGGAAGGACATGTAGGAAGTGCTCCAGGCTCTTAGAGATTCCCCGACAGCCCACTGCAAAGCAGGCTGTGCCCCTGTTGGCCCACGGAGGTCCACAGTGGAGCAGAGATCTACCTGCAGCCCACAGGGAGCCCCACAGTGGAGGTGGTAGATGTAGCCCACAGAGAGTCTGTACTGGGCCACCTTGCAGGAGCTGTGGCCCATGGAGCAGATACATGGACAGGAATGCTGTTCCAGGATGGAGCCCTCTTTTACTTTGAGGATCATATTAAGTGCTCAAGTGGTTCTTTATGGATTAATAAATTAATATATTAGAGAAGTTATGTAAAAAATGTGTAATTGTATATTAAAGCATCATAGAATGGTTTTGGTTCGAAGGGTCCCCCCAAAGATCACTTGGTTCCAAACCCCTACCATGGGCAGGGAACTTTCCACTAGACCAAATTGCTCCAAGCTTGATCCAACCTGGCCTTGAAGATATCTAGGGATGGGGCATCCACTTCTCTGGATAACCTGTGCCAGTACCTCACCACCCACTCAGAAAAGAATTTCAAAATATTTAATCTAAATCTCTCACTCCTCATCCTGAAAGTAATTTCTCCTGGTCCTATCACTACAGACCTTTGTACATAGTCCCCTCCAGCTTTCTTGTAGTCGGTCTCCTTTTACTTACTGGAAGGTGCTCATAGAGGGCCACTAAATTTGTCAAATTTGCCTTAGTGAAGTCACATTGGTTGTCATCCATCACCTTCTTATCTTCCAAGTGCCCCAGGAGGATCTGCTCCATTATTCTGCTTAGTAAACACCTAGTGGCCAGTGAATGTGTTTTCTGGGAGAAAAAACTATGCACTGTTACTCATACTCCATCTTCAGCAGTAATGTCCACATGCAGATGTTTTTACCCACACACTTTTCAGCTTGGTGGTTAGGACACACTTCTGATTAACAGAAAACCTCTGTTGAAACCTCTGATACAGGAGAGAACAGAGATAATATTTGTCCTGTTCCACTAAACTGTTCTAACCACTAGGCTACTGTAATTCTTCCACTTCTCTCTTCACCACTAAGTGCGTTTTTGTTTTTTGTTTGTTTGTTGTGCTGTTGGGTTTTTTTTGTTGTTGTTAATGTGGCCTCTGGATTGCTTTTTACAAGAGAGGGAATAAGCATTGTTGATTCAGTATTCCAAGCAGAAGACAGGTCCTTAGTCTGCCAAATCTTACCAATGAGAAACTTCCAAGCACCCACTCTCATGCATCAGGAATCTAGAAATACCTACATTACTGGCATTTCTTACTGGAAACAACTCTGCTCAGGAGTACCTAACATTGCTTAAAACTCTGTATAGCTAAGCTAGCTAACAAGCTTCAGTTGCCTAAGTCTTTTTCCAGGGACCCTTATTATTTTCCAAGAGTATTGGATGTTTGTACAAAAAAATATTTGTATCAAAAGTAATATTCAATCTGATCCTCTGTATTACAGTATCTTAGTAACAGAAAACTGAGAAGAGCCATGTAAGCCAGGAGTCTGTTAAGAGGCCAGCAAGGAAATACATGCCTTCTAGGTTGTTCACAAATAAGATTTCTAGTCTTAAAGCACAACTGTTCCAGTTTTCAAACAGTAACTACCTGGCTTTTCTCCCAGTAATTATATAGTTAGTTAGGCAAAGTATTTTCAGCAATTTTGAATTACCAAACCTAACGTGAAATAACTTCAATGGGTCTTTTCCTGACCAAGTTCTTTGCTTGCAGAACTTATTTTTCCCTAACAGTTCACCAGCAGAAGAGTAACTTTTCAGCACAAGTAAACTCTGAGTTTTATCTTCAAATACTGCAGTATCACAGGCATATTTCAACTCTCTGGTTGAAACTGCAAAATAAATCATTACTGTCCCTTAACAGAAGTGTTAAAAAAGCCTTAGAAGTCTAGAAAAACCCATCTATTAAATATCATTCTCTTATCTTCCACACAGAAAAGCAGTGCTATTTTAAACTGGCACACTACACAAACTGGTATCTGCCATGTGTCTCCTGCATAGCCACAGAATAGACAACCTTCACATTCATTAACCTTCAAGTTCCTTTCTAAATCAAACTTTGTCAAACATGTCACATAAAGTCATTTAAATTTGAGACAAGTTTGAATGTTTCAGGAAGGCTGGCTTCCAAAATTTTAAAAATTCCACTCACAGATGTCAAAACAGCTTCTCCAGATTCTCACAAAGAACTTTAATTCAACTTTGTAGAGATGAGAGGTTTTGCCAAAAAAAAAAAAAAAAAAAAAACGAAAAAACCCCCAAACCCAAACCAAAAAAAAAAAAAAAAAAACAAAAACCAAAAAAACCCCAAAAAAAAAAAAAAAAAAAACAAAAACCAAAAAAACACCAAACAAACAAAAAAAAAAAACCAAAAAACCCCCCAAACCAAACAAAAAAAAAAAACCAAAAAACCCCCCAAACCAAACAAAAAAAAAAAACCAAAAAACCCCCCAAACCAAACAAAAAAAAAAAACCAAAAAACCCCCCAAACCAAACAAAAAAAAAAAACCAAAAAAAAACCTGTACCCAAGTTCATTTGGCTCAGCCTCTGGAGGCTTGATCCATTCTAATCACAACTGCCAGAAGGGTGAAACTTTCTTCCATAGAAAGAATAAGACAACGAAAACAAGCCAGTAAGTATAGAAATTCGAATTTCTCACATATTGAACCATAAGAGGCATATTACATCACCATATAACACAAAAAGTTTTAAATAGCAAGAATAATTTTGTTACTGATTGAATCAAAACTTGTTCACCAAGACAAAGATGTATTCAATAAGAATTTTGATACTCCAAGGAAAAAAACAACCGCCTTGGCTTGTTACTTTGAGTACAAAGATGATACATAAGGGATGCAGAAAAGTTGGAAAGATACAGGCTAAACAGAGAGAGGGAAATAGTCCTTAAAAAGACTGACACGACAATGCAGAAACACTGTTACAAACAGCTGTAAAGGTACACAGTAGCAGAAGTAGTTTGTATGAGAGAAAAACCTACTTATTTCCTTGTGGTTATGATAGAGCTATCCCCCAGCCTTCCTGCTTGCGACTAACTACAGAAAAACAATGGAAGTGCCAAACCCCCAGCATTTTCAAACTAGCCAATACTCTATAAAGTCCCCGCGTTCTGGAAAACACCACGAAAACAAAGATAAAGGTAACACAGGACATGCAGTCTTTACGCCTCTCTCATCTCTGCTCCTGACACTTAATCAATTCTCAGCTTCGCGGCTTCTGCTGCTGCTTCCCGCCCCGCCCCCCCATTATGATTACAGACAGCCTTCTCCCTTGATCCAGCTTATTTTATACTGAATTTATAATCAATTTTTCGGGATGTTAACAGAGCGCTCCAAACGCAGAGCTCCAAGAAGTGTTCTATCACTTCCCTCCCCATTCCCATTTAGGCACACACCGCCTTTCACCCCGTGTTCATCTGTGCCAAAACGCTTCACCTGACACTGACAGCACCGCACACCGCAACCTCACACACCGGGTGTGCGGCACCGCCGCTGCTTCAGAAAACACTGTCCGAGAGCAGAACAACGCAGAGACAAAGCGCTGACCGTGCACATGGACCGTGCCCGCCGCAGCAGCCTCGGGCGTGCCCGAGGAACTGGCGGCGGAACGCGCGGGGCCCTGCCCGCCGCACCGCCTGCGCTGCCCGCCCACTGCGACACCGCTTCTCACGGGAACTCCCGATCGCCTCAGCCACCGCGCTGCCTACCTGCGTCCCGGCCAGGCCAGGAATGGGAAGGAAGAGGGGAACGGCCACCTCACCTGTCCGCGGCGCCCCGCAATCACCCCAGGAGGCGGTGCCGCCGCTGTCCCGCCCCCTCCTCTCCCTCCCGCCACTTCCGGGGGCGCCACAAAAGTCTCGGGCGCCGCTGGGGCCGTAGCTGTGGTTGGTCTGACCAGGAAACTGTGGCCCCCGCGACGGGCCTTTCCGGTACCTCTGCCGGAGCAGGTGCGTGCCCGCGGCACGGCGGATGTTCACGGGTGTGCCCACCGGGCCGAGAGAGTGGCGGGGGTGGGGGGGCGGTGGCGGGAAGCAAAAAGTTCGCGTTGGCCTCGCCTCGTGCATGCGCGGGGTGCGGGGCCCAGGGGACGGTAACTCGCGACCGCCGCTCCCGGCATACCCTGCGCGGGCGCGTTGCACTCTGGGATGTGTAGTGCTGTGGGTGGGAGGGAGGATGCGGAGGCGCCTTTCCGAGAGGAATCTGTGGAATTCTGGATGGCGGCTGACTCTACCGCGAGCGGCGAGATGCGACTTCGCGTTCCTACCCACTCAGCCTCATAGGCGCCCTCCCCAGCCCTCTGTCGCACTTGCAAAATCAGGGAGGAATGTAGGCGAGTCTGTCAGTCTGATTTACACATTTTTGGAAGCACCTGGGTTAGAAAAGCGGTGTTTTGAAGCTGTGTACTGGAGACAGCCTGTAATAGGAACAGGAGGGAGACTTCTTGCATGAGCATATGAACACAACATACATGATACGACAAGGAGGTATGCATTCAAAGAAAGAGCTCAAGTTTAGACCGGATGTTAGGAAAAAAGTCTTTACTGAGAGGATGGTGAGGTACTAGAGCAGGTTGTCCAGAAAAGCTGTGTCTGTTCCATTCCTCGAAGTGTTCGAACCCAGGTGGTTTTGGGGCTCTGAGGAAGCTCATCTAGTGGAAGGTTGTGCTGCCTGAACCCGGTAGTTGTTTGGAAGTTGATGATCTTTAAAGTCCATCCCAACCCAAACCATTCTGTGACCGTGATTCACATCTCCACAGGCTATTCCTGTTTGTTGTAGGAACAGCAGTCAGAAGTAGAGGAATTTTTCAAAAGCTGGACTAAAAGAATAGTTTTGCAGTTAGGATTGTGTTTGTCTGTAGGAGAAAATGGGCATTAAAGGATTAAATAGCTTAGTTTTAGCAGATATGACTGTTTTGGCTAAGCCACTAAAGCTAAAAGACCACTGGTTGTATGGAAGTTTCATTTGCCTTGCTAAAATACTTTCTAGTGTATACTTTGTGAGCTTCTAAGGCACTAAAAATGGATACCTGATTTTATGTCTTTGATTTTTAGACTACCAGATGCATTATGTGTATTGAGACATAGCATATGAATTAACTGAATAAATAAGAAAAACAGAAGATTTTATGAATTGTTCTTTTCAGGACTGTTTTATTTGGCATTTTTTAGAAGTAGGCCAAAAAAACTCAGTTAGGTAGTGGGGGAAAAGATTAGTAGGGGCACAAGAAATTAAATATCCAGGAAGGAAGCTCATATCAGGCAGCAGTCCAGCAGACTTAAGTACTTAACAGTTTGCTGGATCAGGATCCTTCTAAATTAATGTATGTAGGTGCTACATAGCACATTCTTTCTTCATTGGTTTACCTAAGCTCTTCAAAATGCTTATAATAGAAACTGCCATTGCAGAAATGTGGATAGCATGTCTGCTTAGCAGAAGTGTATGCTATGGTCCTGCTTAGAAGTATTTTGTTGCTGTGAATTAAAATGAATTAAAACTTCATTTTATTAAAATGGGCAATTTTGGGCTCCATGGAGAATATATGCTGCTTCAGGCAAGTTTCAAAAGTACTGGAAGAATAAAGAGTGTTCTGTAAGATCTTTTCTTCCCATGTATGAAAGTCTGTGTCAAGCCAAAAGAATCCATCATCTCTGTGGTCAGGTGACAGGTCATACTGGGCTAGTTTTGACTTCAGGTAACTTAAGTGTAGGACTGGCCTTGAGGAAGCACTTGAGTAAAACTTGAATGTGTGCCCCTGGCAGATGGGATAGATATTTTAATTGCCCTTCACCAATGTCCTTTTACAGTCAGAAATACTAGTTAATTGACTTCTTTTAAATAACAGAAACAGAATGTACTTAATGGCAACCTCACCTGCTTTTCTGCTGTTAGTTATCCAGTTTACCAGCTCAGTGCTTGGTTTAGCATGTGTCATATGTAAATTTACAGGAAACTGCTCTGTCAGAACAGTTCTGTGTTCTGGCTCCTCTCCTTCCCTGTTCTGAAACACCATCTTTCTTCACAGGTGAGATCGTGGTGTTGGGAAGTACATCAGTGTTAGTTCTCTCAGGTATGAAAATTTTGCTTTAAAACACTAATGCTCTATGATAGAGACTTGGCTTGTTTTGAAAACCAGCTCTAGTCTGGTTTTCAAAACCAGAATAATGAAGTGAGGCAAAAGTCTTGTCACGTTTTGAATGGGAAGTTCCTGTCATGCATTTGCCATTGCTAACAGCAGTGCTTAGCTCAGGGTGCAGGTTCCAAAAATAACATACAGCATTTTTTTTTTCTGGGAGGAAAGGATAAAGTGAAAGCAGGCATAATCACTCTTAAGAGGTCTTTACCTCCTTCATACCACCAGCATAGTAAAGGTAACTCAGAATCTATAAATTGAAAAATGGACATCTTGTCCTACACATTTTGTTTTCAAATAGCATAATCACATAATGAGATGATGTGCATTCCAAAGTGACTGGATACTGTCACTTCCTTATAATTATAAGCCACTGAGCACATATGGCAGACAAACTATTTACTCTTTTTAGCAGGCTACATAATGTCTCAGTCTGGCACTGGAACAGTGGCAGGATAAGTAATAAATTTACTTAATGCTGTGGATAACCAGTATTCACTATAAAATTATGACATGGCAGACCTCAAGCTTGATCCGGCTCCTGCAGACATTGATGAGAGCAGGAATAAATTACTGCCTCGTCTATGCCGCTGGAAAAGATTTGGAAAAAAAGCAAACCACTCAAATGATTTAGAGGCTGCATCAATAATTCTGCCTGTGAATATTTAAATTTTTATTATTACATAATTTTTTTTATGCTATTTTCTAAACCCAAACAGGTTCTGATCAGTGGCCCATTTTACTAATGACATTATTGCTTTTTAATGTTATCAGGGAAGTCAGCTTGTTTCAAAGAATGAATTGTTACCTTGTATGCAGAGTCTGGTTTGAAATTTCAGAATCTAATTGTCTGATTAATTAGTGAAAAAACAAGTTTCCATTAGTTTCTCTCAGGGAAGTTGTTTTTTTTCCTATTTGCCTACGTAGATTTTTCTCAACTAAGTTGGATCTTTGGACTATCTCAAGCATAACCGAATTTAAGAGGTATCCAAGAATGAGAAGAACAATTTCTTTCTCTCTGATACCATTTCCTTTCCCTGTTAAATGAGTGCGGTAGAAGCCTCCATTGTGTGGAAATTTTAAAATATAGTTTGACAAAACCAGCTCTGCTTAGAACAAAATTAGTGTTTCAAGCAGTGCTCCTTGTTGCTAAAGTTGATGGTGGATGTGTATAGTGGATGGTGTAACCTCTTCTTAGAGGCTACCTGACCAGGATGCTTCTGAGCTACAAATCAGTAGCTCAGTAAAATCAGTAAAAACTTGATAATGTGCTTCTCTGACAATTTATCTAATAAATTCTGTCCATTTTGTTCAGATTGGCAATGGTTCGTAGTGGAAAAAGTGGTGGGCTTCACCTGAAGCAGATTGCGTATTACAAGCGGACAGGGGAATATCATCCCACAACATTATCAAGTGAAAGAAGTGGAATCAGGAGAGCTGCCAAAAAATTTGTTTTCAAGGGTAAAACTTTTCTCTCAAGTTATGCTAAAAATAGACATTAAGATGAAGATTTGCTAATATGAAAAAAAATGAGTTCTTGCTCTGCAGCATTCTGTGATTTTAATAAGCATTCTCCATGAGAGAAATGCTCTGCAAATCCCTGGTTAATATATAACAGGATGTTTGTAGAAATAGAAGCTCAGTCTGCTTTAGTCCATTCCAGGACACGTTTATTTATCTATATAAAAGCCAAACCTCATTCTGTATCTTTTTTACACTGTAGAAATATGTAGTCACTGCAATCCATAATTGAAAGGATTACAGAAAGGGAAATAGATCTGCAGCTAGAGACAAGGAATGCTGCATCCAGTCTGGAGGATGGCTGGCAGAAGTACAAGGACAATTTTGCCATCAGTCACCTGAGAGCCTGCAGGCCCTTCCCGACTTTATTGCAGCCCTGGGAGATATATGAGCCTCTATGAGCCATTGCAGTCTGCAGTACTGTCTCAATCCCATCAAAACTGCCAGTGTTGTGTAGAGAGAAGGCAGGGAGGAGTTAAATCTTTGACTATCAGTGTCAGATTTCTGGCAGGCACCCAACAGCTTCACAAACAACAGTTTCAACACTCCTGCCTCCCCTTTCCAACCCCAGTGTTAGTCTGGGTTTCAGTCAGATTTCCTGTGGGAATGCTGTTTGCATTCTGACTTGCACTTGTATTCATTGTGTCCAGATAATAAGCATGGCTGAACTAATGGCTCTTTGGAGGACGTAATTGAAATGTTTGTAAGCAACAAGCTATGATTACAAAATTGAACTTATTGCAATAAAATCTATTCTGAGTCATGCTCAATAGTTTAGTAAACTAAACAGAAGACAAAGCACTTACTTATAATTTGCTGGTACTTCTTTCAGAAAACAAGTTGTTCTATGTTGGAAAAGACAGAAAACAAATGCGCCTGGTAATTGTTTCAGATGAAGAGAAGAAAAAGGTCCTCGAGAAATGCCACAAAAATGCTGCTGGCACTCATCATGGTATATCAAGGACACTGACTTTAGTGGAGTCTAATTACTACTGGACCTCTGTGACAAATGATGTCAAGCAGTGGGTATGGCTTCATAACTACAGGATGCTTTATGTAGTCTGTTACAGATGTTTGGTAATCCTATGAACTCTGGTACAGCAAATGCCTGGCTGTTTCACAAGGAGGAAATGTAAGCTTGCAATCACACTCCAGCTGGTCATCTTGGCAATGCATGGTGTTTCGTTTTACTCTTTTACTACTTTTTACTCTTTTACTACTGGCTTGCACACCACTATGGTGTGGTGGGGAGCCATAACCTCTTTTGGTAGGCAGGGCACATCCAGTCCCTGAGAGAGATTTCTTGTGCAAGGGCTCTCACATATCTTTGTTAGGATGCAATGTGCCATCACAAGGATGTCTGACCAGAGTAGCTGCTAGCTAAGAATATGAAAATGGTGTCTCTGCTTTACAATAAGCTGTGTTCAGGAAATAGTTAAACACGTCAAAGCTTTGGAAAATTCCTTCTCCTCCACCCAAAGATACAGGGGTAGGAACCCCTAGCAGAATTTGATCATCCAGGAAACTATGTAAATAGTTTACGGCCAAATTAGTGTTCCTGTTGTCTTGCTGCACCATGTGAATACTTTGAGTTCATGTGCAACTGTTACATGAAGTGAAAAAGAGTCATTCCTTTCAATTTAGATTGGACAAAGGTGCTCTGTCCTGTAGATTAAGTTGTTGTGCATGGAAGATAATATATACTTCCAGTGTTTTTCAGCCACAGCATGCATAGATGAGCCAAAAGGGGAATGATTAGGACCTCCTTTCAATCCCAGTTGCTTCCTACTTCCTTTATTATTTACAGATAGTAGTGGATTTTAAAATTTGTACTGTGGACTCAAAAGAGCACAGTGTTTTCAGAATGGAGAGAATTCAGCTTTGAGTTCTTTTACATGTCCCTCTTCTGGCCTTCAGTATTGTTTGGTTTTATTTTGGTTTTATGCTGTTTCTAAGGGTAAAAAATTGTAAGAAAAGTGACAACTTTGTTTTGCATTGCCTGGTTTGACCTGATTTACAGAGAAATAGTGGAGATGTATGATTCTGATGGTTGTCATCACCTCACTGTCACTTTTCATTGATAACACCTTCCCTGATGTCTTCTGTAGGTGCATGCTTGCCAGCATTGCCAGATGGCAAAGAACATTACCACCAGAGTGCCCAAAATACACCCTATCAAAGCAGAGGACCCGTGGACAGCAGTTACTATAGAGCTAATGGGACCTTTCAGTATTACCAACAGAAGTCACAAATACATCATAATTATGACAGATTTGTTTACAAGATGGACTGTTATCTTACCACTGCATGACACTTCAGCAGCTGAAATTGCAAAGGCAATCATAAATGTGTTTTTCTTATATGGGCCACCTCAAAAGATGCCTATTGATCAGGGGAAGGAGCTTGTTTATCAGGTAATTATTTACATGGCTGGTTAATCACTTTTTTGTTGTTGTTTTTTCCCCTCAAGAAAAATACATTTTCCCTTAGATTTGAATGTTAGATTTTTTTTCAGAAAGACTTCAGTATTTATTTTTCTTTAATTGAAAAAGTAAAGGCATTTGCACAATTCAAAAAAAAGTCAAACCAATTATTTGCAATTGTAATGCTATGCAATGTTTCCTAGGACTTTATTCTTTGTAAAAAGAGCAAAGTAAAATATTTCCTGGCAGTCATAGTGCAAGTTTTGTCACTCATTTGAATTGGCATAAATTTGTACACTGCATTCTGATGTATGTCATTCTTCCATATTGCCCAGTATAGCAATAGCTAAGGGAATTTTTGAAGTTGGCTTATAGTTATTATGAAGGACTTACCACACTTTGTTCCTGTAAGAGATGATGAAGTCATCAGATTGTGACATGGAAGTAATGACAGATCGAGTTGAGTGGCAAAAATGTGGTTAGGAACCATCAATCATGGCTCCTAAGCCCTACTGAATGGTTTAGCTCTCACTCACAGTCGTGGTGTGTTCTGTGCCAATATGTATGGAAGATTTTCCCAGTCACTATCATATCATCCAAAGGGGTGGAAATCTGAAGTTTTTTACTTGAAATGGGATACAGAACAGGAGAAATGTTCACTAATTTTGTTCTTCTTATTTTGAAGATAAATGAAGAACTGTTTGCACTGTTTGGAATGAAGCAAATTGTATTGTCTTGTCCTCAGACACATGATGTAAATGAAAGAATGCCCAAGACAATCAAAACTTTCCTTAACAAGTATTGCATAGACCATCCAAATGATTGGGATGAACATTTATCTGCTATAGCCTATGCTTTCAATTTGACAAATTTGGTATGTAAAGATTCTTCTTCTTTTGACTGAAGTCCTCCAAAATGTCAGCAAAGATGTACGCTAAATTTGCTTGCTTTTGGTCCCCATGTAAATAGGAGCCAGATCAAAACACCCCATATTTCCAAATGTTCAACCGTAACCCACGTGTTGTTGAACCCATGAATATACATGTGAAAGGAGAATACAGTAGTTTTGCCAAAGTATTTGAAGCAACTAAAAAACTCAGTCAAGCACTGGAAGAAGACAAAACCTCAGATTACCAGGTAAATGTTATGTATTTAAATTTTACTAGTAAGAAGACTGAAGATAAAGATGAAAAAGTCTGAGGCATAAAGTATAACTAACCTTTTAAAATAATGTGGGGATTTTAGTGGTGGTTTTTAGTTTGTTTTTCTTTCCCCGTGATCCCTTAATTTCAGTGTAACACATTTGTATTTGGAGGGAGTAACCTTAAAAGAGAGCTATTGTCAGAAGTTTACTCTGTCTGACTTCGAAGGCAGAATAGAGAAGTTGAAAACTGTTGCCTATGGCTAGTGATTTATGAAGATAAAAACAATTTCTTAATCACTTTTCAGTCCCACATAATTACAAACTACACACATCTAAAACCACTCAATGTCCTGCTTAAGCACTGTTACTCAATGCTACAAAATTGCATTATTACTTTTGGGATAAAAAAAAAGTAATTTACATTTATCTTTCTGTAGGCAGATAAAAAAACTTCAGATGAACAAAAAATCAGAACCAAAATCACAGTTAAAAGGAAGTCAAAATTATTAAATACCCTTCAACTTAAAGTTGGTCATGAAGTCCTCAGGCAAAGAAAAAACTGGTGGAAAGATGGTCGTTTCCAGTCGGAATGGATTGGTCCTTGTATCATAGATTACATCACAGAAAATGGCTGTGCAATATTAAGAGATTCCACAGGATCAAGGCTGAAAAGACCCATCAAAATGTCTCACCTCAAGCCATATGTAAGAGGGTCCAGTGAAAAAGGTGTATATAATTGTTTTTAAGTTTGTGGTTTTATGTATGTAAAAAGACTTGGGTTTTTGTTTTGTTTTCTTAACTTCTCTGTTGTGGTATTAGGTTATTAAAATGAAAAAGTATCATTCACTAACTAGTGGGAGTTATATTAGCACACACAATATGTGTGTAATAGCTAAGTAAGGAGAATAGTGAGTGTGAGTGATGTCAAACTATGCAGAGCATGGAGCAGAGCTCATGAATAATGTTCAAAGTCTTTTTAAAAATAGCCTCTATTAAAGTTGCTTCTAATCACTGGCTTGGATCGATTTGTGCTGGCTGACTGAAGTATAAGAACATGCTAGAAGTATAAGGAGGTTGACCTATATTCAAGGAGCATTTTCTGGCTCTCTTGGTGTAGGCAGGGTTCACATTAATTTTGCTTGTGCAACGGAAACTTTTTTTTTTTTTTGTTTACAGCATTAGAGTGTCTTCTAAAGCCTTAAAATAGAAAGACTAAATCAGGGAACTGATTTTGGAATAGTTTATTTTAAATTGTCCTATTAAATAAATCAGCGTTTCTCTTACAAGAGTAAATAGAATTGTCATGCTCTGTGGTAGGATGGCTGGAAATTTCCAAAGATCTGCATAACCAGCTTTTGCTCTTGGTCTTACATATTCATCATGCCCTTTCGCAAATCAAACAGTGGCAGCTGTTTCTTTTCTGCTCATGCTGTCTTTGAGTCACCAGAGGCATTTTCAAAAAAATTAAATACTTGGTATACAGAAGACTTCTGTCGCAGAACAAGCTGCTTTGTACTTCAGAGTTCTTGAAGAGCAGAACAATTCCCACACTATTGGCACATGTGGTCAAACTTTGGTTCTTGTAAATAGATAAACTACATTGAGATGGTAATTTCTTCCATCACCTCTTAAAGCTGAGAGATTTGCAAAGCTGAAACTAATTCTGGAATTTCATGTAACAAGCTGAAATAGTTATGTCAGTCATCAGTTATGGATTTTGTAACTAAGATACTGATTTCATGGCATGTCACGAGGCCTCTACTTTTTTTGGATGACCACTCTGTGCCTTCTGGTTCCTCATTAAATTGCTGATGCATGAGGAGGAATTGACATGCATATCAAGCATATAGATAATGAATAAAATCTATTACAATAACTTTTAGTAAATTGTGTCACTATATAAAAAGCTGAAAGTAGTGGTCTCTGTAGTATTAGAGCCTAATATGTTTACTGCTGAGTATTGCAGAAGCAGTGTGTAAACATACAATTCCCTTTTTCAGGAAGTGACAGTCTTCATCTTGGCTGGGATAGATTTTGGTGTTTGTTTTTTTTTTTTAAACTTACCTATTTTACTTACTTTTAAAACTTTTTATGGTTTAAGGAAGCCTGTTGTGTGTTGAACTAAGATTTTCCATCAAGAGCATGAAGAAACTACATTTATTCATGTGCATGTACAAAATGAAAGAATATGTCTATTTATTCAAGTTGTATTCAAGCATGAGCTCAGTAGGTGACTAAGACAGCCATCAAGCTAATCATTGACTTAGCTAGGAAAAGCTCTAAATGTGGATAATCCCAGAGATTATTTTGTGGATGTAACGAGATGACAAACATTTGTTCCTCAGTGAAATTGGGAAATTCACATAATCAGTTTACTGTCACTCAAATATTCATCTCCTCTTTTGGAAATTGTTTTGAAAAGTAAGCACCTCACTAACATTTCAAGTATGGCTTCATAGATCTGAACTAATGGCTACTTTCCTTTTACAGGCAACCATTACATTCTGCAAGGTGCAGTAGTTTTTGACCATGACTATATTGGCTTGTCTGAAAGATCTAATAATTCAAGCCAAGCAGACTCTGTTGCTGAAAAAGAAATAAATACCTACAAAAAAGATATCATGTCTGCTGTACAGATTCCACCTGCAGCCTTCAAAGACCAAGAATCAGCAGATGGTAAATATGGGTCTGAGCTGAGAGAAGATCATTACATTGAACCAAATACTGCAAAGACAGAGCAATGGCCTTCACCTTGTTGGACCCTTCAGACAAAGACAGAGGATACTTAAGCATAGTCTTCTATCACATTTCATTGCCATGCAGTTTGGAACTACTGTGGCAAACTGAAAAAAAAAAATAGCTCCAACTTCCTTAGCCCAGTCCATTTTACTCCTTTATGAATCTAAGAGTGCTTCAGGTATTTAATTTGTCTGGGTGTTAAGAAAAAGCACTAGTAAAAGCAAATATTCTGATCATGCATTTAAATTCCAGATTTTTTTTTTGTAGAATGGCGATGTGGCCGTGCCTTACTGTTATCCTCTCAGGACACAATGCATAATTTCACTGTAATGACCTTTTCCATTTAATCCTTGGATGACTTATTCCTAATGTGCACTGTGAGATGAATTAAACCTAAGCAAGTTGGTGTAAATTTTCCCTCCACTACAGAGAAGCTCATGTCTTCCTTTTCCCGTTATATAACAGTTCTCTATTCATTCTGGGAAGCTGCAGCATCTGACTTGTACAACTTTTAATTTCTAGTCTAATCCATTTAAGATCTCACAAAACAATAAAACTGCCAAAATCAAATACATGTGGTGTTCTATGCATGAAACAATGAGAGCTTCAGCTGTTCAATGCTCATCAAAAGTCTACTAGTGTAGGCAGTTTTAATATTTCAGGCATGTGAAAAAATCTTAGAAGCATTTAATATTAATATGTGCTTTTTCCACAAACATCTGGTTTCCACAAACATCTGGTTTCTCCATTACAGTTATCTTATCACTGAGTCTGTGCATGTTGGGAGATTTTCCATGGGCTATGAAAGGTGAAGCAGTGGTATTAGCTTATTCTCTGATTTCCTTGAGTAAGCTGTTACTGGTCTGGACTTCCTACTGAGAAGACTGTTTCTCAAAGTCAGCAGCACAGGAATTTTTTCATGTAGAAAACTGAGAGTGGAAGTCAATTTTTTTGTTGTAGTTTTGGTTTTGTTTGGTTTTTGGTTTTTTGTAGGGGATTGACATGAAGAAAACTAGCAGAAAACTGAATTGAGGAATTCAGCAACTTATGGATGATGCTGTGGAAGATTTGCTTATCTTGCTCTCTGAATTTGTGTGCTCCCTCTCATTTCTGCTCCTGAATGTCATGTGACTTCTAACAGAGGTGGAGGAAAGTACTATTTATTAGGAGTTTTCAGTTAATTTTAGACAATTAGATGTGGTTATCAAGGCTGATTAGGTACCTACCTCCTACAGAAATTTCATGTACAATACAGTATGTCTTTAATATCATGGGATGCATCTGTGTGAGAAAAGCGCTCAGCACCATGACAGAATCCTATCTTAAACTTCAAATGAAAAATAATTAATACTCAAACTATTTTGTGTCTTCTGAAAATGCAGTCCTACAGATACAGTTTTTCTCCACCAAGATTTCAGAGAGTCTTTCTGAGTACATTGTGTGTATGCACACATGGAATAAATATTTATTTTATATATCATCCTTTTGAAGAAAATATTACTGTCAGGGATAAGACTGGAGAGTAAGGCATTGTTTGTAAGGCTCATTTCTGCTTTAGTAGCTGCAAAAGAGAACCAGCCTCTCTTATTTTTTTCTTACTTCATGTGATCAGTTCCTGAATTGTGCACAGTACAGCAGAGCTGTTTTCTGCAGTGGCTCTGGGGTAATGCAAGTGCTGTAGAGTTGTTAGAGCTGCACTGAAAAGAAAGGAAATGCTGCAGTGAGAGAGTAATGGGGAAAACACTGAAGCATTTAACATACTGTGTACATTTAACATATTGCTGATGGCTCAGGCTTCCTGGTAATTTTGATCTATTGTATTACCAAGCAGGCACTAGTGACTTACCAGTGCACTGAAATGTGGCCTTCTGTGGATGGGAGAGATTAATTAAAATAAAATTCAAACTATTGACATGAAGAACATCACTGGAAAATGAAAAAGAAACACTGTTTGACCAAAACTGACACAAGGAAGCAAGATTTAGCAGTGTTTTCAAGAAATGGGTACTATACTCTTTTGCACCAATTAGAAGACCTGCTGGCTTACTGTTTACATCTTGGTAACAAAACTATGTAGAAATTTTGAATGAAAAGCAGCACACCAAAAGCTTTATTTTGAAGAAGAAGGCTCTTCCAGATAGAAGTAACCAGACAGTAAATTGAATTTTAAGCATTTGATTCTGGAGCAGTTAATCCTGAGACATGCATTCCCTGGTCAGTTCTCCTTTCAGCCTGTGTGTAGATGAAGGGATCTGCAGCAAGCTTGCTGCACTGGTAGCAGAAGCAGCTGTGCCAGTAAACAAAAACTGTTGTAGGAAATACAGCATGTCCCTACTGCTAGGCAGGGCTGCCCTGTTACAGACTACTAGTGCAGTGATGAGCAGATCACTTGGATACACGTTTCTATAATACTGTATTACCACATACTACTTATTACTCACATTGGTGAGCACTTTTTTGGGCGCTGGAGAAGCATCTCAAAACTCATCAGCAGAACTGGAGCATTCAGAGCTGCAGCTGGTGGCAAGAATTGGTGCCTTGAATATGTAAAGTGTTATCCGAGTTAAGTGGGTTAAAAGGGAATAAATCAGATTTCATTAATTCAGTTAGTTGATTATTCTTGGCAATTGATGCCTTTAATTTCCTTATGTGTCACTTCACCCTTCTGTACAGAGTAACACCATATCAGATTCCAGACAAACTGCAAAAAATACTCATTACTCTTCACAAAGCTGGCAGACATAGTGATAAAAGCCCCAACAGAAAAGCCCTTAAGAAAAATATTTCTATTTTGTGCAGCATTTCAGTGATATGCAGTATGTAATACCTGTGCTTCCCCACCAGATTGATTCTGAGTCTTTACCTAATCAGAAACATCATTCACCACTCCCATAGAATAAAGACCAAGAAGAAGGAAAGCAGAGCACAGAGTTATGGTGTCATACCGGCAAGTTATTTTTTTAGTGTATTAGCTTTCGTGTGTTCGTCTCCAGCGAGAGCCGTTCCGGATTTGTCGGAAGGTGGCAGCCTGTATCCGCGGAGCCACCGCCCACGCGGTGCTCAGGGCGCGGAGGTACTGCTGCCCGCCCTGCCCTTCCGAGGCTTTCTTTCCGAAAGCACGTTCGCAGCAGAATTTTCGGTAATTTTCACATCGATAATTACGGGAACATGAGTACATTTCTGAGAGCAACATGACCCGCATTGTGTGAAGGCTGCGTGACTGACCTGTCGTGAGCCGGAGTACAAAAATACTCTAGTTATGCTTTAAGTGGTTTTATACCACAGCTACCAACTGTGGTAAACTTTCAGTACAGCTTTACACCTCCCAAGCACCTCTACACGTTACACCTAAGTTGCTGTGAGCAGGATCTCCCATGCAAGTGCCTGGAATAACGCCATGCTTCCACTTATGTGTGGCACAGTGTGTGTGACCCGAGAGCCGACCCGAGGAAACATGGCAGAATTGTGGAATTCAGTCTTTTTTCCTGAAAGCAATTTTCTCTTGAGCAGCTGTTTTAGGATATGTCATGGCTGAAGGAAGCAATAACAGGGGGGAGAGGGTACTCAGAGCAATGAGGATTGCAGTGGCCAGGGCAGGGTTCTGCCATAAAACCCTAAATAACACGTAGCACCAACTTTAGCCCCTTTGACAGTTGCCTAATCTCCATTCTGAAAAAAAAAAAAAAAAAAAAAAAAAAAAAAAAAAAAAAAAAAAAAAAAAAAAAAAAAAATTCCTCAATTCCAATTAAAAAGAGTAGAAAAATTAGGTTTCTCATATGTCCTAGAAGAATAAGAAGTATAGTTTGTAATAATTTCCCTAGTTTGCTGAACTGTTACCACTGACTATTTTCTAGGAAGAAAGAAAAAAAATTACTGCATCTTCAAACCAGTGTTTTGACACAGTGCCCTACAAGAGTACTGCTCATACATCATCTGTATATTTTCTAAAAGCTATACGGTGAAATCAGACAGAGCTTCACTCACAGGATGTCATGCTTCATATGCAACCCATTAATAAGAAATATGAGTGGAATGGAGATGAAGAAACAGTAAAATAAACTGCCTTCATGACCTGTAATATTTAGAAAAAAATCTAATGCAGCCTCCAGATTGACTACCACACAGTATCTCTCCAAAATATGTGTCTAACAATGCCAGCTGAATGTTCTTTTACGATTTTTAGCCACCATGTCCAGAAACAGCAAGAAGTTTGCAGGTTTTTCTTGGATAATAGATATCACTAGAGATCTTAAATTCTCCTCTACACTGTCAGCTCTCCTCTTTTTTTCTGCCAGTAATGCTTAGCTATACAGACAAATCTAATTTTTTCCCCATTACTGGAGAAGAGCCTAAAGAGCAGTTACAGTGCAAATTCTACTAACAAATTTTGATATTTCACATAAAAAATAAAAATATTTTCACATTTAAGAATTAAAAAAACCCAACAGGTAAAGGCAAATCAGGGGTGCTAAAACTGTAGGGTTCACTAGCATCTGTTTTAGATAGAAAATACAGTGGCTTAATTTCAGCTCTTATTTTTAATTTACTTGAATATTCTGTTTTTGCATTTTTTTTACTGGACAAAACAGGATTCCACACAAACTGTGAACTATATAATGACATAGTCTTTAAAATTTTAAATAATTTCCTAATGTGCAATTAAGTAATTAAATAATAAAGTTGCTCTTGAATTGCTCAGCAGTGACAGTCCCCACAGCTTTTACTGCTAATATATACAAAGTCTTTCAAACAAGTTTTCACATGTGTACTTGAATGGCAACCTAAAAATCACCAAGCCCTTTCTCTGTAGCATGACACATGCTTAATCCTAATCCACTGTAGTGTGACAGCCATTACTGACCTAATACTCTGTAAACCTTAAATAAATCTAGCTTTGGCAAGGAAGAAGCTTTCGCAATTCACCACAACGACCTATAAACCCTCATTAACTCTACAGTGCACTGCTTGATTAGAAATCTACTTAATCAAGATGCTTCCCAAGGAATCAATTTACACCTAATGATACTTGGTGGCAAGGACAGCTGCTTAAGAGAGATTGTAATTTCAGTTAATTGGGACACCTTCAGGTGATGTGGGTGGCAACCTGTGTGTTACAGGTCAGTGCATCCTCCTCATGGCATCTTGCAGTTGCCCCAGTCTGCCCTCACTTACCGCAGGTTCACAAAAGGTACCCAAAATTACCTGACAACACCTGCCAGTGGATCACAACCACCTTCCCATAACCCTGTAAGACTTCCCATGGGTCAGACTATTTAAAACAGGGAGATGCTTAATACTACAGAAAGGCGCTTAGCTACTTGGTCAGTCTATTTTTAATGAAAATATTCAGCCCCTACAATAGCCAAGGTTCTTCCTTCTTAAAAAGGCTTAAGAAAAGATTAATCAACAACACATGGAAAATGTTACCACATCTTGTAAATCTTAAAAATGTGCAATTATATTTTCTTCATTAAAGCATAATCTTATCTGGAGCAACTACTGAAAACTAATTTAAACATGCTCTCCAAAGTTTAGACTGAATAAGCAGATTTCAACTATTAATACAATAAGTAATATTAGCACACAGAACCTGTTAGGACTGAAGATGGTCTTACTAAAATGGCTTATTAAAATGATAACTGATTAAAAAAGCTTGTATCTTCCTTTTTACATTAATTTTTCTATTGCAGTTTGGAGCCTATGGTACATTGTTTCCATAAGATGCAGCTTTAATAAGAGACAAAGAACATTCAGTGCCTTCAAGCAGGTTCAGATGTTCCAACTCTGCCATTGCACCTGTACAAAATTAGAAGCATGAAATCTGAGGTGCTGAAATTTGATTGGTGCTGGAAAGTAGTTGGTGGCCTGTTGGTGCAGTTATTAAAAATGACAGAATAGCTTGTATTGAAAGCGACCTTAAAGATCATCTAATCCAACCCCTCTGCCATGGGCATGGACACTTCCTGCTGGACCAGGTTGCTCAGAGGCCCGTCCAGCCTGGTCTTGAACACTTCCAGGGATGAGGCATCTACAGCTTCTCTGAGCAACCTGCGTCATCATGCTCAGAATGAAGAATTTCTCTCTAATATCCAATCTAAATCTCCCTCTCTCAGTTTAAAACCATTGCCTCCTTGTCCTATCACTACAGTCCTTGGTAAAAAGGTTCTGTCTTTCTTATAAACCCACTTGAAACACTCAAAGGCCAAAATGAGATCTCTGGGGAGCCTTCTCTTGTCCAGACTGAAAAACTCCAAGAGAGGTACTTCAGCCCTCTGACTATCCTTGTGGCCCTCTCTGGACCCAACTCCAACAGGTCCACATCCTTCTTATTTTGGGGACCCCAGGGCTGGATGCAGCACTGTAGGTGGGGTCTCACCAGATCAGAGTAGAATCTCCTCCCTCATCCTGCTTCTCTTTAGGAGCCCAGGATTATTGTAGAGACCAATATCTGAATTCCAGAGAGCTGAGATTATGATTAAAGCTCAGTTTATCTATTTCAGCCTGTACTTGCAATTAAACTGTTTGGCTGATTCCCTCTCAACAAAACATTTTCTAGAATTGGAGATACAGCTCAAATAAAGGAAAGGACAAAGAGGGAAACTGCATATTCCACTGAGCTCTGGTAATGGATGAAGAGAACACCCAACATCACTTGGACATAAGGTGAGCTAACCAAGTGTTAGAAAAATATACCCTTATTGAGTGCTTTTGAGAAAACCCTGTGATCTTTCAGAACTGATAGACATATGCCACCTATGACACCAGTGTCACCACAGCTTTCTTAAATGCTGTCACTGGAAACTTCCTGTAAACTAGTGACTGAGCATTTTTGCAAACAGCTTCAGAGGATTCTTCCCAACTAATTAATTTTTATTCATACATACGAGGATCAAGGCCACTGCCAAAAATAATACTGCCTTGCTTTCAAAGGTGAGAAAGAAACACACTGTTTTCCTTGTAACGTTAGGAAAACAAAAATTTGCAGGAGAGGAAGCAACGTAAGAGTATGCACTAAATACATTTCACATGAAACTGTGCCTGTACTCTGGCACTTCAGATGGCTATCCTAGAGATTCTGCTGTAAGTAAGAAAAGAAACCAGCTTGTAATGCATTTTAATTTGGGATTTTGGTTTTTTGGTTTTTTTTCCAGAAAAACAGGATTTATAAAATCTTGCTGGGGGAAAAAACCTCAACTTTTTCTCCACTATCATTACCCTTATTCCCCCACAGACCTTGCAAAACCACCACAAGGAGCTTAAATCCTATTTTCCAATCTCCATGCCAGCAGTAGCCTATTACAACACCTGCAATGATGACAATGAAAACTGTTTCATAAAACCCTGTGGCAATTACAGCTGTGTACACTCTGCTCATAACAGCAGTTTTAAAAGAACATTAATTACGCTCTGATCCTCAAACTGGACTGATTAGTCATAATGATTTTACACAATGATTCACACTTTAGATGACTCATACAGAGAGGGTAATTATCCAGCAGGACTTCTGTAAGTCTGCTGTTAAATGAGAGAACTCATTACAGGACTGAGGGTTCCTGTTGAATGAATGAAAAAGAAAGTGTGGAGAAAAAAAGAAAATCAGTGCTTCCAATCAGGTAGTATTAGATGCCTACCCTGACTAATTTGCATATTTAATTTGAGACACAGGTTTCCTCTTAGCTGTGACCATGTGTTTTATTAAGGAAATACCTTGCAGTTTTATTATACAAGTAAAATCCCTCTTTAGATGTTCAAGTTTGACTTTGTACGTGTATGGAGATTATCAGTTTAAAAAAAAACCCAAACAAACAACCTCATGACATAACAAAATATTTTTCCAGCTTCCATACAAAATAGCATTTTTTAAATCTGCTGGTAGAACACATTAAACTTTTTACTGTTTAAGTGCCCCCTGTAACTTTTACAAAAGTCATATACAAAACAATGCAAGCAAAAATTCCAAAGTACACTCTGACAGCCAATGCTCTGCGAATACTTTATTACACAAATTACATTCAGCTTCTGAAAATAGTGTTCTAACAGTGATACCATCTAAAAATAAGACATTCCAGAAACACATCAAGTTAGGAAGAAGAAAAAAATTAAATAGAGACTTTTTTCTTTCCTTCAATGCAATATCATGTTAGTGATTTAAAAAAATAGAAGAAGACTTAGCAGCTTCATTTTTTTGTGGCACTGTATATTCTCTGTAATGCAACAGGTTAAGGACATTGAAGAGGAAAGGCACAAAACAGAAATTGGCAACTCAATAATTATGGAAAAATATTTGATGAAGCAGATAGTAAGATTATTTACAAGATCCCCATATTTGATGATAAAATACTACTGCTTTAAATCAGTCTGGCAATTAGAAGACTTTGCTTTATTAAGATGTTCACATAAAAACCAGCAGCACTGCTATGGAATTTCAATATACTCCTTCACTTAAAAAACGTAACTAAAACCAAACAAAAAATAAAGGAACCAGTGTACAGCCCCACACAGACTAGAACAGTTTACAATTAAATATACAAGATCTTAAACGTGCTTAAGGGAAAAGAAATCTGACATTCTGGGTTGAACCGTATAATGGAGAACTCAAAGGTTAGTTTCAGGATGATGAAGGTGCTGGTGGCAGTGGAGATGCTGAACACTCTTCCTCGGAATCAGTGCCATCATCTTCATCTTTTTCTTGATCACTTCCTTCAGTGCTCAGCCGGTCAAACCCTTTTCGGCTGTAGCCTTTGTGGCTTGCAAAGAAGTTCCCAAGGTTAATTCCACCACCACCTTTCCCTATGGAAAGGAAAGGATTTTCATAAGGTTTGCTTTAACTGTAAGGGGGGAAATAAAAATCTATCTACTCATTAAACAGTATAGTGGTGATTCTTTTAAGTGTCCTTGCAGAAACTGTTTTTAAAGGTTCAAAGGTTTTTGATCACAAAAGCTAGGTATATATAACAGGAAAGAAGAAGGCCATTAATCTTAGAAGTTTCGGACTATGCTTTTTTGGCATCCATTATTTCATTAATTCTACACAGGTTATTGACATTCCTACCCATTTGCCCTTAGTTTCAAAGTGCTTATTTCATTCACCAGATCTGCAGTAACTCATTTTAGCTCCTGCTCTCCCACTGGTAGTGACTCATTCTCTTTAGTGGGCAGATAATGACAGATAAAAGTTCTTGTAAAAGAAATTTTCAAAAACTCCTGATCTTTGCCCCCAGTCCTTCCTTTGAGAAAGTTCCATCAAATCCGTTAGTCTACATGAATACAGAAAAAAAGCCTCCAGTTACTGCATTTGAAAATATCTTCAGTGACTACTTACCTCTAAGTCTGCCTAAAATTCTGCCTGCAGTAGAATCAAGTTTGCATTCCCCATCAGCTGA